TATTTCTTGACCTTATAATAATATAATAATAATAATAATAATAATAATAAAGTATTTTATGTGCTAATGATATATCAAAGTATTGATCATGATCGGTACAGTATCTCGTTGAAGGAAAGTCCAAGTTTAGTATGAAATTTGAGTTGAAAAAAATTTTTGTCTATTTCTTTACAGTTGACAGCTCATGAATATACAGTGTATATGCAAGTAGTGCATTCAAACCTTGGCAAAAAGAAAAAAAATGATTTGAGCCAGATGCGAGCTCACAGACCAATAACAACAAGTGTGCTGTAAGAATGAATTAGCATAACAGCCAATCACAGTCTATTATATATAACCATACAACCACACTGGGGGTCAACACAAGGAATCCTGTGTGCTGTTTCGCCAGGCAATGGGCTAATAAGCCTATGAATCCAGGATTCCAGCAGAATAATCTGATTAGTCCAGATAATTAGTAATCCAAAAACCCTAGGAACATTTTTCACTAGCCCAGAGGAAAGATTTCCTATAGTCCCAGACTAGTGGACCAGCATTAGTGTTGAGCACTGAAACAACTTCTGGGCTGATCAAAGTCAGGGAATATGCTACCACTTACAGATGGAACCCTGAAACCTCAAGTCAGAAGAACATGCAGAAAAATCCTTGAGTAAAGGGACATACTGTACGTAACAATCTCTACCCACATGTGATGCCGAGACCAGGAATCAAAACTGAGACACTTAGTTTTCTGTCAGTTACAAGAATAGTAGCCATGGTAACAGTACTGTAGTTCTCTCCATCGGTACTGTCTTAAGATACCCAATAAGCTACACCTCACCTAGAAGGCAGGGGCTATTTCCCCTTGTACTATAATTTATACTTAAATATATACTTAGATCTCTGTAATGAACTGTTACCTTTGACAAGAAACTCAAGAAATAATCACAACAGATCCTCCAAAATTCCTCTCGAGAAAAGAGGGGTCTGTAAATTAGAACACTAACTTTGATCCTGATCTACCCGAGCCCTTAAGCCTCGAAGAGAGGGCGAGCTTGTAATTTTGTTAATTTAAATAAATGTGAGGTTAATTAGGGGAGTTAAGGTATGAAATATTACGAAGAACATATAAGGAGTACATATTCTGCTGCTGAATGTTTTCTCATCAGTTTAGTTGTGGGTTTGATTCCTAGACTGTCCATCATATGAGAGGTTCTCTCCTGTGCTTGGAGGGTTTTCTCAAGGTTCTATTGTTACTTACCTAAATATATTCAACTTGCAAAATTCCAATTCAAATTCTATCAAGGTCAAAAGTGAAAACATGAACTCCTAAAACCTGTAGGTGACCTCATTTGAGACTTATTAAAACATACAAAGACTTAACTGGTTAACACAAACCGCATTTGAAGCACAAGAATACTTTAATCATGGTTTACATGAAGGTTGTTGCAATTTTGTTTCTACTAATGTCCAGCATTTAGTATTATTAGTTACTACAAATACACTAGCTCAAGCACTTAACGCAAGAAATGTTTTATCATTGAACTATTCACTTCATGTAGACTTGATACTGGGAATATTAAATCAGGGGTTATCTGCACTTTAAGATTG